TTAATAAAAATATTATTTAAAAAAACTAAAAAAAGCTTAATTTATTTATAAAAAACCCAAAATTTTACTGAAATAAAAAAAACTCTGAAAAATTTAAATCTCTCATTTCAACCCCATTCGCAATCGTCACTGGTAATCTCCGACCACCATCATCATCGCCGAATGATCATCCACGCGTCACCGCTCACCTAGTGATCAATCACCGCCCTTACCTGTAAAACCTTAATTCCCAATTTCAATTTCCAGAATTCTTAGATAAGTAAAGATGATTGTTGAAGCTTACTTGTAGCGTTGATGATATCCAAGGGAGGATTAAAGATGGAATGGTTACTGCCATTGCCAAAGCTCTTTCTCTGCTTTCAATTTTCTTTCTTCTTCTTCCAAATCTCCTTAAGGAGTTTCAATAAAGAACTTGAGTTTGGAAGGAGTTTAATTGCGGTCAGTGACTGTGGCGATGGTGGGAGAGGCCGACGACTGTGGAAGGGAAAAAGGGACAGTTGGGATTTTTTTATTCCAAAAAAAGGTTTTTTTTTAAATAATATATTTATTTAAACATAAAAATTTAGAAAAATATTTAAAATTTTATATGTGTGAAACGTGTTAGATAACGACCAAATTTAACGGTTGTTACGGTCTAGGCATATAAAAATATAACGTTGGAAATGTTAGACACCTATTGTTAGCAAAAAATTCTTAGGCACCTAATTGTATTTTGAGGTATAGTTTAGGACGTTAAATTGGATCACATCATGCCCCTTCTTTGAAGCAATTTTTCCTCAAATCGAAAGGTTGTTTCTTTGTAAAGTCCATGTGTCCTTATAAAAGTTCCTTGAACAGTTTAATGCCAATAGGTACCTTTTTGAAAGGATCTTTTCCAAAAGTTATCTTTCTTGAATAGTTGTCCCCAACGCCCTTGTCCTGAAAAGATAGAAAACTTTTATAAGCATGGTTACCAATAGACATCATAAACGAATTGAAAAGGTACTTCCTGTTCACTTCTCTTGGAATGCTAAAAGTCATGACTTGTGAATCAAGAGTCATGTCATTATGAATAGTCATATCCTTTGGCATTCCAAAAGACATGTCCTTAGGTTCCCTAATTGTCATGTCCTTTGAATCTTGAACAATCACGCCTTTTGTATTTTCACTTTGAAAGGTTGCATGATTTGGAGATTCCTGCAAAACAGGAGATAATTATACATTTTCAAAGTTAGAATAATCATCTTCGATCTTTCTCCTTTTCAAGAGACATTCTCGGATCAAGCACTTAGTTGAATAAGCACTTGTCTTTTGGCTCATCCCTTCCATGCTTGGTGATGTTTTTCTTTTCTGCATGGCCTCAACACTCTCTTTCATCTTGATTTTATTATTCTAAACTTGTTTTGGTGTTAAAGGTGTAAGAATCATCTTCTTTCCTCTATGGGTGAATAAGTAGTGATTTATGAAGCAATCGTGAATAGTATATTTGTCATACTGCCATGGCCTTTCAGTAAGTATATGGCTAGCATGCATTGGCACCAAATAACATAGAACTTCATCTTTGTACCTCCTTATTGAGAAAGGAACCATCATCTGCTTGTTGACATTCAATTCGCCCCTTTCATTGAGACATTATAGTTTGTATGGACTTGGATGCTTCATGGTCTTTAAACCAAGCTTTTCCACCATAATGGTACTTGCAACATTTGTACAACTTCTTCCTTCAATAATCATGAAACAAACATGTTCGTTCACATGACATCGAGTATGGAATATGTTTTCCCTTTGAACATCATCCTCGACTATCTAAGTATTTAGAACTCTTTTCATGACCAAGAGTTCTTCATCCACTAGGTTCTCATACTCTTCTTCTTTTTCTTTAATGGTCTTTTCTTCTTCTACTTCATGTTTAGGTTCCATGTCCCCATTGTCAAAAAATAGCATCGTATTCTGATTAGGACATTGTATGGATACATGTCCTCTCCCAAGACAGTTAAAGCATATAATGTCTTTAAAACGATCATTAGTGCTTACTTGTTTCCCTTTGTTGTTTTCATCGCTTAATGGCTTTGTTTGGGATGATTCTGTCGCTTCTTTGAATGGTGAAGGAGTAGGTTTCTTCACATTCTTTTGAGTCCAACTTGAAGTGATAGAATTTTTGTTGTGGTTAACATGCCTCCTCTTAAGTTGAAGTTCAATCTTAATGGCCATATATACCATTTCATCAATCTCTACGTAACGGTGTAGTTCCAAAGTTGTGGAAATCTCTGGATTAAGGTCTGCAAGAAAACTGGCCATGGTTGCTTCACGATCCTCCTTGACATTTGCTCGGATCATTGCAACTTCCATTTCCTAGTAATAATCCTCCACACTTCGAGATCCTTGCTTAAGATTCTACAATTTTTGAAAAAGATCTAGGTGATAATGAACTGGAATAAATCTCTTTCTCATAATACCTTTCATCCCATGCCAAGTAGATATGGGTCTTTCTTCATTTCTCCTCCGAGTGATATTAAGTTGATCCCACCATATCAATTCATAGTCTATAAACTCTGTAACACCCCCGACCCAGATTCGAATCCAAGATGTTACATTAACTTTTTAAAACATTTACTTTATAGATAATAGATAAATTTAGACATAATTGTAAAATGAAATTTGGTTGGAAGCTTTGATCAACAGTAAATAAAAAGAACTTAGCTTGTATTAAAATTAAAACTTAATAATTTACATATATAAATGTATGCTTACAAAAATGATCAGAGCATATAGAATTCAAACATTTAATTACATTCCAATGATATTTACTATAACAAAAGAACCTAATGTTTAAATTACTTCTGATATGATCTCTTATGAAGTGATGATGTCCCCACTGCCTATCCTTGCTTTTCTTACTTCTTGGATCCTACGTGTGAAACACTCACACGCTAAGTCATTGACTTAGTGAGGCATATAACGATGAAATGCAACAATGACATATACAATCAACTACTTTCAAAATGTTAATTTGTTTTATTTCTTTTATTTGCCCATGAAACGTTATTGAGAACTAAAGATATGTGAGTGCATTGAGGTTTTTCATAAATGATGTCACCACAGCTCGTATAAAATTCACCAAAGTGCAACATAGAATGTCTCGAAGGACCACATAGATATTTCCTGATGGACCACGTAGAAATGTCCCGAAGGACCACATAGAAATGTCCCGAAGGACCGCGTAAAACCCTCGACTCTTGTCATGCCAATTATACCTTTAATTCTCATAAAACATACTATGAGTTTTACTATTTATCTCATTTATTATACCTTATATCACATAGATGATTAATTGTATAGGTCTTGTCTCATAACATATATCACATGTGCATATAAACACATATAGCGTATCATATAGCTTATGTTTTGTTCTCTTACGCTCACATCGATCATATAGAACATATAATAACATATAAACACATGTCACTTATACATGTACTTATAATAATCATATCATTCACATGCTTACAATTATAGAATTATGAAATCAACATAGGAAATAGACTTATCGCAAGTCTTATTTCCATAAAACACCATATACACATATTATGCACTCACCTTGGCCTCACTAGTAAAAGAAATTCTCTGATCTCTCTCTCTGGGTAAGTTTCAATTCGTTGACTTGTCCGGACTTTGTTTTCACTCGATATCTTAGCTACGGAGCTCACGTTGAGAGGATGAAGAAAAGAGAAGAAAAGCTCTAGAGTTCTATGATATTCTTCTCCCCTAATACACGTGTTTATATAAAACACTCTTAATGAATATTTAATTTTTTCACCTATCCATTTACTAATATGCCCCTTCATCCTTCCTTATTTTCAATTCACTCCCACACAAAGAATTTTTTAATTTAGTCCCTGAACTTTTTAATTTTTCAAAATTAGGCACAAAGTTTTCACAATATTACAATTTAGTTACTAACATGGTTTTTGGGATATTACAAATATCCCCCTTAAGAAAATTCGTCCTCAAATTTTTATTTCACAAAAAAGTGGGGATATTGTCTACGCATATCCTCTTCACGTTCCCAGGTTGATTCCTCTACTTTATTATTTCTCCACAAAACTTTGACCAATGGAATCTCTTTATTCCTTAACCTCTCAACTTCATAAGCTAAGATCTGTATCGGTTCTTCCTCATAGGTCAAGTCAGGTTGGACTTCTATTTCTTCAGTTGCAACAATATGAGAATAATTAGATCGGTATCTTCGAAGCATATATAAATGGAAAACATTATGAATCTTTTCCATTTCAAATGGCAGAGCTAATTAATAGGCCACTGGTCCCACTCTCTTCACAATCTCATATGGCCCAATAAACCTAGGACTCAGCTTTCCTTTCTGTCCAAACCTTAGTACCTTATTCCAGGGAGATACCTTCAGGAACACTTTATCTCCAACTTTGAATTCAATTTCTTTCCTCTTAAGATTAGAATATGACTTATGTCAGTCGGATGCCATTTTGAGATTATATTGAATTTCCTGAACTTTCTCTTCTACATCTTGAATCAAATCCGAAGCAAGAACACTCCAATCTTTGAGTTCATACCAGTTTAATGGTGTACAACATCTTCTCCCATATAAAGCCTCGTAGGGTGCCATCTTAATACTTGACTGGTAACTATTGTTGTAAGTAAACTCGACAAGTGGTAAATACTTCTCCCAAGACCCTTTGAACTCAATTACACAGACTCTCAACATGTCTTCCAAGATTTGAATAGTCCGCTCGGACTGTCCATCCGTCTGAGGGTGAAAAGATGTACTGAAGTTCAGTTGAGTTCCCAACGCTCTATGTAAAGATTTCCAAAATCTCGATGTGAATCAATGATCTTGGTCAGAAACTATCGAAATAGGCACACCATGCAATCGAATAATCTCTATAATGTAAAACTCAGCATACTTTTCCATAGAGAAATCAGTTCGAATAGGAATAAAATGTGCTGACTTAGTCAATCGATTAACTATTACCCAAATCGAATCTCTTTTATTCTAAGTCAGTGTTAACCCCGTCACAAAGTCCATCATCACATTCTCCCACTTCCACCGAGGAGTGGAGATTGGTTGCAGCAATCCTGACAGAATATGATGCTCCGCTTTAACTTAGTGACAAGTTAAACACTTGGACACAAATTCCGTAATACTTATTTTCATTCCTGTCTACCAATACCGACTCTTAAGATCCATATAAATCTTATTTCCACCAGGGTGTATCATCAATGGACTACATTGAGTTTCTATCAACAGATCATTCTTCAATTCCTCATCATCTGGAATCACCAGTTTCCTTCGATAATACAGATTCCTATCAGACTTAATCTCAAAATCTTTATTCTCTTCATTCTTTACTTGCAATATTCTTCTCAAACACCTTTCATCTTTACCCTGTAATTCTTTGATTCGATCCAACAACGTTGGCCTCAGCATCAATTTTACACATAATACACAATCAACGTCTAATGATAACCTTGCATCTAAAGCTCTCAAACCTGCGAATTTCTTACAGCTTAACGCATCTGCTACCACATTTTCTTTTCAAGGATGAAAATCAATAACTACATCATAATCTTTGAGAAGATTGATCCATCTTCGATGTCTTAGATTTAATTACTTCTGTGTCATCAGATACTTCAAGCTCTTATTATCCATATATAGATAACAACGTTCACCATATAAGTAGTAACGCCAAATCTTGAGAGCGAACACTACTGTAGCCAACTCCAAATCATGTGTTGGGTAATTCTTCTCATACTGTTTCAATTGTCTAGATGCATAGGTGTTGAAAACATTTTTGTGTTTCGATATAACAAATTAAGTTTAAATGAATTTTAATATTTTACAAATGATTTTCTAAGTATATTTGATTTAATTAATTGAATATAAAATTATTACTCCAAGTCTTTCAAGTCAAATTTAAACCTTACTAAATGTGTAAAATTGTGTTTTATACTTAAACTATTTTTGAAACAATTTTCATAAAGTATTTTGAACCAAAATCAAGCCTAAAATCAATTTATCAAAGTGATGCACCGATGCACTAATTAATGCATCGATGCACCATGAATTAAATTGAACATCAAATGCATTTCATGCATCGATGCACATACCATGCATCGATGCACTGAGGATTTTTATGAAAACATCGAATGCATTTGATGCATCGATGCACCAGCCATGCATCGATGCACTCTGGCTATTTTGAAACATCGAATGCACTTGATGCATCGTTGCACTAAGGGTCTAACGGTCAAAATATTTGAATTTTACACTGATGCACTGATGCACCATGGGTATGCATCGATGCACTGACGCTCTCAACTGCTTTAATTAATTATATTCACACTTAAACGACTCTATTTACTCCACTAAGCATCCCCAACGTTCAGAATCATTTTAAGGTGTATTTAAACAAGCTTAGAAGCCATTGATCAATAACAAGAAACAACAATCAACAAGAATCAAGAGAGAATCAAAGAGAAAGCATCAAACCTCAAGTTTGAGCATTTCAAGCCTATTTTTCATTCAATATTAATTTTTCTTTCAAGAACAGTACTTGTACTCAATTGTATTCATTTTTTTAGTTTTATTTTCTTTGTTCTAGAATTGTGCAAACAATCTACCTTGTGAAGATTTCCTTGTAAGTTTGCAAATTTGTAATCTTCTCTTTGAGAAAGAGTGTTCTCAAGAATTGGTGTATATTCTTGAGGGAGTTGTAAGGTTATCTCTTTGGCCTCAAAAGAAAGAACAAATGAGTGAATTTGTTGGAAAATCCTTAGTGTGGATATCTAAGGTAGTGGACGTAGACTTTGATTAAGAAAGTCAAACCACTCTAAATCACTGTGTAATTACTTTCAATTTTCTGCAAAAAAAAGCTTCCAACAAAATTTTAATTGCCAATTCACCCCCTCTTGGCCGATTTCATCAATCGATTAACTCAATAATTGGTATCAGAGCCTCACTCATTTAAAGGTTTAATCGCCTCTTGAGTCGATTCGGGAAGAGTTACATCGATTATCAAGTCATCAATGGCCTCTACTTCAAATGTCGACTCCGGTCTCGATTCGATGCCCGTCAACAGGCCTCCTTTCTTCAATGGAGCAAATTATGCCTATTGGAAGAATAAGATGATTTATTTCATTCAAGCAAGTGACATGGGAGCATGGAATATTATAGAAGATGGATATATCAAGCCTCTCACTCATCCAAGATTGTGGAGTGAAGGAGAGACAAGAATGTTCCAGCTCAACTCCAAAGTAATCCATATCATATTTTGTGCTCTTGAACCAGATGAATATGGAAGAATTTCATCTTGTACAACCGCCAAATAAATATGGGATAAACTACAAGTCACTCATGAAGGCACCTACGAGGTAAAAGAATCTAAAATTAGTCTTCTAACACATAGCTATGAAAATTTCAGGATGAAACCAAATGAAGATATCAAAGCTATGACGGATAGATTCTCAACGATTATCAATGGTCTCAAATCATAGAGATCATTCCAAACGAAAAGCTTGTGAGGAAGTTAGTTTACTCACTTCCAAAATCATGGCAATCAAAGAACACGACAATCATTGAGGCTAAGAACCTAAAATCCTTAACTCTTGAAGAGCTAATTGGTTCCCTCCTCACTCATAAAATGATGCTTGAAGATGAGGTGAACCTCGATAAGATAGATGAGACACCAAAGGAGAAGGAGAAGAAGAAAAACATTGGACTTGCTCTCAAATCCACAAAAGATGAGAGTGATTCAGATGAAGATGACGATGACGAGGAAATGGCATTGTTTGCCAAACGGTTAAGAAAAATGATGAGACCTTACCGAGGAAGAAAATTCAAACAAATGAAGGTCTCAAAAAATGAACCAAAAGAGAAGGACCCTATCATTTGCTACGAATGCAAAAAGTTAAGGCATGTCAAATATGATTGCCCATAATTGAAAAGAAAGGGTCATCAAAGAATAAGCACAAGGCTCATGTGGCTATATGGAGCGATGAAGAGGGTTCAGATGAAGAGGAATAATAAGTAGCAAACTTGTGCTTGATGGCATTCGGGGAAGATTCTAAGGTAACCTCTAACTCATCTAAATTAGATTATTTATCTTATGATGAGTTATTAGAGGAATATAATGGGTTGGCTTCGGATTATGAGAAATTGTTTTTAAAATATAAAAATGATGTCTCAAAATTGAAAAATGAAAATAAGCTCATATCCAAGACCAACAATGATTTTGAAAGTAAAATCAAAGATTTGCAAATCAAACTAGAAGAGTTTGAAAAGAAAAATTCAGATTTGCAAAATTTACTTTCAAAGGTCAATGATGATCATAAAAAGAAAATTGATGATCTTAAAGCTTCTTTTGATAAAGTTGGAACAAAACGTTTTGAAAATGGAGAAAATTCAAAATCCAACTTTGTTAGAAAAAGTTTTAAAAACTACAATCATAGAGGTCCCCGAAGAACCTCTAATGGAAAATCGTTAGAAGTATATGGGTTCCTAAAGGACTCGTTACTACTAAAGATAAAGATATCCTACACAAATGGATACCTAAGGGGACTAGGATTTTGGAAACTAATGAATATGGACCCAAAAGAATTTTGGTACCAAAAATTAGAAATTAATCTATGTTTGTAGGAAAATGAGCATTGCTACAAGGCACGGGAAACGAATTCAAACTCATGGTACCTTGATAGTGGATGCTCAAGACACATGACCGGGGACAAAGGCCGGTTTATAGAGCTTAACGCCAAAAATAGAGGAGAAGTGACTTTTGGTGATAATTCAAAAGGTCACATTGAAGGTATAGGTACAATAGGTAATACCTCTTCCATACAAATTAAAAATGTTTTATATGTGAATGGGTTAAAGCATAATATTTTGAGTATTAGTCAATTATGTGATAAGGGATTCAATGTCATGTTTGAAACTAATGGTTGTAAAGTCATTGACATTGCATCTAATCGGATTATGCTTGTTGGTCATAGAATAGGAAACATATACATGGTGCATTTAGACTCTATTGATATGACTAATTTATGCCTAGTTGCTAAGGATGAGCATGATAGTTGGTTATGGCATAGGAGACTAGGACATGCTAGTATGAGTGTTTTACAACGGCTAATTCAAGGAAATTTAGTTCGAGGGTTGCCTAAGCTTAAATTTGATAATGATAAAATCTGTGATGCTTGTGCTAAAGTAAAACAAAAGAGAATTTCTTTTAAATCCATTAATGATGTATCAACTAGTAGAGTATTACAATTGATCCATATATATCTTTTTGGGCCAACTAGGACTACTAGCTTGGGTGGAAAACAATATGCATTTGTCTTGGTAGATGACTATTCTAGATATACTTGGGTTCTATTCTTAAGTACTAAAGATGAAGCATTAGAAAATTTCATCACGTTTTCAAAAGTAATCCAAAATGAAAAAGGTTACTCTATAACTAGTGTTAGGAGTGATCATGGAACTGAATTTGAAAATCTTAGATTTACTGATTTTTGTAATTCTAATGGTATTTGCCATAATTTTTCATCACCTAGAACCCCTCAACAAAATGGAGTTGTTGAGAGGAAAAATCAAACTTTAGAAGAAATGGCTAGAACCATGCTTTGTGAAAACAATTTGCCAAAATATTTTTGGGCGGAAGCCACAAATACCACTTGTTATGTTGTAAATCGAGTAATGATTAGGCCAATCTTAAAGAAAACTCCATATGAAATTTTCAAAAATAAAAAGCCTAACATTAGCTATTTTCATCCTTTTGGATGTAAATGTTTTGTTTTAAACAACGGTAAAGATAATCTTGGCAAATTTGATGCTAAAAGTGATGAAGGAATTTTTCTGGGTTATTCCTTAAATTCTAAAGCTTATCGAGTATTTAATAAAAGAAATTTAGTTGTAGAAGAGTCTATACATGTTGTTTTCGATGATAATCTCCTTCCGAGGAAGGATTCTTGTTTGAATGATGATGTAGGTATTATAAATATAAATGATGTTGGAGAACCATCATCAAAGGAAGAAACGAAAGATGAGGAAACTCAAGATCCTCTCAAGAATCGAAGAAAGGGAAGTATCTTACCCAAGAGAGTACAACTATGTCAAGGATGGTGAGATTATAGGTGATCCATCCAAAGGGGTAACAAATCGATCTTCTCTTAGAAATATTTGTAATTATGTTGCATTTATCTCATGCATAGAGCCTAAGAATATTAAAGAAGCATTAAAAGATGAACATTGGATTATGGCTATGCAAGAAGAGTTAAATCAATTTGAGAGAAGTAAAGTATGGACATTAGTTGAAAGGCCTAGTAATAAATCTACTGTAGGTACTAGATGGGTATTTAGGAATAAACTTGATGAGAGTGATAATATAGTGAGAAAAAAGGCTAGACTTGTTGCTCAAGGCTGTACTCAAGAAAAAGGCATAGACTATGATGAAACATACGCTCCCGTAGCTAGGATGGAAGCAATTAGAATGTTATTAGCATTTGATGTTTTCATGAATTTAAATTATATCAAATGGATGTTA